AATACTAATCTCCAAAGGCATTTCAAGAAAATAAATAGTCCTTAATTGACAACAATGCATTCATTTATATTACAAACAAATGTCTAAAACAAAGTAAAAGAAATTAAGGAGCATTTGGTATGCAATAATTTTAAACATGAGAATGAGAATCTATAAAATTATCATGTTTAGTACAAGAACTTTAATTTTTAGATTTCTAAGAAAGTGAATATCATGAGATTCACTTTCTCTCAATTTGAGGCAATTTGAATACCACCCAATAGGGTGATATTCAAATGCCAAAAGCCACCATCATCACAGCTAGACCACCACAGCCACCAACGACTAGCCACGCCCCGCGCCAGCCGCTTTCACTCAGCCCAACCACTGTCGGGCTTCGTCACGAAACTAGCACCTCGCTGTCGTCCTTCACATAAAATCCAACACCTTGTCGGCTTCCGTCGTGAAACCAACACCTCGCCGGCCTCCTTCGCAAAACCAAGCATCTCACTGATCTCCCTCAACACCTCGCCAACCTCCGTCGTGAGAAACCCAACACCTCACCGGGCTCTGTCGCACAATGCCCCCTCCGTCTTAGGGCCCCCCTTCGTCACTCGCCGTCGTCCACCCACCCCTAAATCGAGAGAGAAAGAGAGAGATAGATTGAGATTTAGGGGAGATTTAGATATAAGAGGTGTGAAACTCACCGGAAGGCTCGCGGGCCGTCGTTAGGTTAGCAGCGATGATGGCCAAATTGCATGCCTAATTGGAATTTGAGGAGGTGTTTTTGGTGGTTGTATGTTCAATCTTTGTAAAGCAAGCCAATCAGGCACTTCTCAACGGCAACCATCGACGTTCACTATCGGCCCGTCAGAGATGCGAATGTTGACTTCGCGACAATCAGACATGCAAACTGTTAGGCTTAGGCAACATAACATTGCTTAAGACGTAAAAGAGGAGATGGGGAGATGAGAGAGAGAGTCATAACATTTTTTTAATCTTCATTTATAAATCTTTTTCTTTGAATTTTCATTAATTTTAAAATTATTAAGAGAATTCATTTTTTTAAAATTTTATTTTTTCTTCTACTTTTTAAAAAAAATTTAAAAGTGTGAAAATTATATTTTCCCAAATTTTTTTAAACAAAACATTCTCATGCACAACTTAACACTGTAATACACTATTTTTGAGAATTTGAGACAAAATTCTTGTATGTAACTAAACGCAGTAATGTATTATTTTTAGAAATCATATTACCCTCTATCACTTTCCCAAGAATATGATTTCAACTGATTACTGCGTACTAAACACCCCCTTAGAGGTCAAAATTTTTTTTTCGCTATTATTTTTTCTTATCATTGTCTGAGAATGAATAAGGTGTCGCCTCTTTGTAGCCCCTCATTTTGAAAAGTATTTTACAAACAAAAAATAAAAAGAACATGTAATGATCTAAATATCAAAAGTAAACAATAAATAGAAATAAAAAAAGACAAATGAAATCAATTACATACACTAAATAAAAATAACAATCGAGTAATTAACTAGCATAGAAAAATAGACTAGAACCTAGTCAAATTTCAACAGACAAAAAGGTTAGTAAAATGGACAAACACAAATGGCAATATGAATAAGACTGTTACTTCTTAATTTATAGGAAAATCAAACCAATGCATTGAGTAAACAACAATGAAAAATAGAAGAATATTACCTCCACGTTGATTAGGTTTTAAATGACAAATAAATTCAATATGATGAAATGGTTTTTATTAATTTACTTGTGTAGGAGGTAAAAGTTAAATAGAAAAGACATTTCATAATATAATGCAACTGCATTAACAAGTAATAAAAGCAAAACAAAAAAAAAAAAACAAAACAAAAAGTCATCAAATGCATTTACAAAAATTTATCCATCACTCTGCATCAACATTTTCCATGCAGTACAGTAAAAAGTGCAAGTGTCTCCCCTCAAAAAACTGTACAATAAAGCAAACATTCCAATCAATTGACAAAATTAGAAAACTAATTCAGTAACTATAAATACTAATAATAAGGGATACTGAATGAAGCCTAGTAACAATGAAGCCAATGGATATTTGAACCCTAAAATTATATATGCCACATCTCTTTTAAGACATAAAAATCAATCTCCATACAAGAACAATCTTTTGAAACACGAAAAGACTATAAATTTTACTATAAAGTGAATCATTTGTTTATTTTTTCCCAATGCCTCTATTTATTTATTTATTTATTTATTTGCCAATTGCAAATCTACCTCCGTGGAAAAATCTATTGCAAAACCCTCAATTCTTTCTGGAGTTTTGTTGTGGACCTTAAACAAAAAGAAACACAATAACTAACAAGAAAGAAAAAAATTTACACATTGATGCTAAAATGCATAATAAGAAGTTACAAGAAATCTCATTATTTTTTATTCCTAGAAAGGTTGTGGTCATAACCTGTAAAAGCCCAACGCGAAAATTTATATGCTTAAATTATCTTTTTATCCTCTAAAGTGTTATTGGACTGTTTAAAAAAGCTACTAAATCATCCTTTAATTTCAAACTAACTCAAATATGTATAATTTATTTTCACCTTTTCCTATTCTAGTCTTATTCCACGTTTATGCATCTCAGTTTTATTTTTTTCTTACCTTTGATTGAATCTAAGGTCATTTCAATCACTAAAGAAAAGCAGTGTACAAATTGTGATGACTGGTGCTAACAGAAAAGAATAATCATCCATGTAAAAGTTTAACAATGCTTTGAGAAAAGTTTCTAACAATTAAGAAGACCTCTCTATCTTATTCATTGGAAGATTGTAGGATACTTGGCTTCATGTGCAGATTAGTAAAGGTATCCATCCTGAAAAGCAAAATCTAAAGTCGGACCAAATTTCTCAGATCAAGCACAAATGTATTTAGGGGAAAGAAGTTGACTATTTATGATTAGCTTACCAATCACGTGCACAAGCTCTATCCTTTAAGAACTCAGCCTTTCAAGATTCTCATGATAATGTGTAGGTCACAAACAGCTTAAATATGTTTGGCAAAAACAGTGAACCAGTCCAACTTCATGTGATTTTCAATGTGTTTACATCACATCTATATGAACTCCCGAGCTAAAAGACAAACCTTTAGAAAGACAAAATATGATGGGTACGATATGCAAGTATAATTTGTTGGGAATAGTGTCCTAGAAGCATGAGATGTAATATGATATTTATTATTTATTTAATAAAATAGTTTATTCATTATTTTATGTGCATATATTTATGAATATTTATAAATATCAATGAAAATTTCATGATTATTTATGTAACCTTAAACATTGTATATAAGTGTTATATACGAGAGGATAATGTTTAAGGATAATAATCAAAAAGCAATGTTCATAAAGAATTTAATTAAAGTTCAGAATCTTTAATAAAACATTATTAATACATGTCATTCCCATTTAGAATGGAACGATGTTATCCGCACTGTTAATATGACGAGATATTGAATGAGTGTATTTCGCATAATGAGATTATGTGGAACAAGGACACAGACACAATATGAATTTCTAATAATTCCGTTAAGTATAGAAATTCTAATTGAGTCTACCGATGGTCATATATAGGATGATCTTAATCCTGAGTTCTTAACAGATTCCTATTTATGGATTTGTGTCTTTTGATTTACTCGGTACGGATTCTGAGATCCTGAATCCTATTCCTTGTATTTTAGAGACATGATGAAGTAGGTAGCCGGGAATATTATTACACGAGATGGAATCCATTCCTTCTTAAGAAAGAAGTAGATAAATAATTCTCTTGAGGGTTGATTCGGTACTTGGACCAGTAGGAGTTTCGTATCATGAATGTGTTTTATGAATCACTGTCCGTTAGAGAATCAATGGTACTCAAGAATAAAGAAGTAATTATCTTTGGGAACAGCTATGGGCATACAACCACTTGAATTCAATCGTGGTGAATCTTGGATATCGCAGGGACAAAATCAATGGATCGGTTTAAATTCGTATTATCTTGGATCTAATATTAAAATTATTCAAAATTTCTTTTTAAATTGGGAAATTTCATAGGCTTATCTTGTGTCTTGAAGAAAAATAGTGAAAAGCCATAGCATACAAAGAGGGCGTAGACGAGCCTCTCCAAATCTTTTGATTCGTTTAGTGTTTCGTTTAGTTCAATTTACTTTTTCACAGTTTAATTCTCTTTTCTACACTTGAGAGCTTTGTGGTGAGGAAAATTCCTTGTTGACGAAATTTCAGTGTCAAACAGCACCCACAATTCATACTTTGCCTCAAATCTAAGATCTTCAACTTGAATTTTTGCATTTTTAAGTTTTTTTTTTTTTTAAATAAAAAAATGTTGGGGCACTTCACCTTGGCCTCCTGAAGCATTTAGATTAGGTCGAATTCTGAGCATTATATATAATGATAGCTAATTAAATAGATTAATTAAGAGTCTTAACTAAATCAATGGCGTTTCTAATTGGGATATTTTAGTTTTTTTTTTTTTTTTTTTTTAAGGTCAATTGCTCTTGTTTTTATTTTTGAAAAAATAAATAAATCAGTCGCGCTAAAAGATAAGTTCAATCACTTATTATTAATTTTTTTTTTCTCTTTTTGCCGTCTTTTCCACTTGCATCACATTCACATGCCATAGAATGAGACGAGGTTGAGATCGTTTCAACTTTCATTAGGGGTCAGTACTATGAGGATATTGATAGCGTAAGTTAATTTCGTGGGAAGAATAAGTTGATAAGCTTCTTAATTATTGTCAAATATTTATGAACATATGGTTTAATCAGTGGTAATCGAATAGGAAAAAAAAAACAAGCATTTCCTGCAATTATCATGACCATCATTTCGCCTTTGCCCTTATTATACCAAATGAATGATCATGAGATATATATATATATATATATATATATATATATATATAAACACACACACATACATACATACATAAAAGTCTCATGCATGAAGTTAAACTTATATAATCTGGGACTTCTACAGATATTAAGAAACAGAATGTCGTCCAACTCCAATGTCCGTTTGAAGCTGCTGATCGACAAGAAAAACCAAAAAGTTCTCTTCGCCGAAGCCGGCAAGAATTTCGTGGATTTTCTCTTCACCCTTCTGCCACTGCCCGTCGGCACTGTCATTAGGCTTCTCTCACAAAATTATGGCATGGTAGGAACGCTGGGAAAGATCTACAATAGCGTCGAAAATCTCAGCGACACTTACATGCAACCCAAAGTCAGCAAGGACACTCTTCTGAAACCTAAGATACCAATTAGAGTTGGTGCTGTTTCAACCCTTCCCTCGTTGACAACCAGTACTTCCCCAACGGCGAAAAGGTTTTACGTTTGTAGTTATATACATTGCTCCCGCCGGCATGTCTCCAGAACTACTCGCAAGTAATATGTCTTGGTTGCAAAAACTTTATTCACAAAGAGGCGCCACACGTTGCTTCGCCGGCGGTGGCGGCGGCTGCACAAACTGAAATTTATTTTAAACAAAAGAAATTTATCCTTTTGGATAAACATACTTTATTTGACTTCTAAACACACTTTGAATCTAAAGACAATTATTAAATGGATAACTATCAAAATAGTGATTAAAGATAACTATTAAATTATTGATCTTGATCTTTAAGACTTGGTGAACAATAACGATGCATGAACAGTAATGTACCCGCTTCATGTTAATCCTTATATGGAATTATTTTGATGACTTGGACCAATCTTGGCTCACCATCAGTAGTGACCACACATGCTTCTCTTTTCTGGACCTCTTGGATTAAACCATTAAGTGCCTCATTGAACCGTTTAACCCGAGCTCTTGTGACTGATCCTACCGGAACTTAACGCGGATCTTAGTTCCATGCGTTAGTCTTAACCGTGCTCTCATCACAAATCTCAGGTTGTTGTATCCTGGAATAAACCATCATGAAACCTGTTTTGCACCCAAATATTATCTGAGAGCGGCGAAATCTATCCTTAATGACTGTGCCTAGCACGCCTCAACTTAGATTCCGCCTTCGGCAGCATCTCATTTATAAGCAATATTCCCAACAAGAAATAATAAAAGCAAAACATTAGCATGAGAAAAAATTTTATTTTAACAACAGACCAAGCCGCTATATATAAAATAATAAGAGAAATTGTTGAAGTTACCCTAGAGTGACTTTTTTTTTTATGTTTTTCTTTTTGGGCTCAGGTGAAGTAAGAGGGAAAAACGAGAACTAATTTTAGTGTATACCAACAAAGTTGCGACTCACTAAAAAGAACATTTCACTTTTCCCATCCAATTTATAATATAGATAGAAAATTACGAGAGTTTAAAATAAATAAAATATAAAAACAAGCCCAAAGACTTGAACAAAATAAATATAGCAAAAATTAGGTCCCGTTCATTTCGCTGATTCGAGTTTAGAATTCGAGCTTTGCTACAGTAAAAAGCTCTCACAAACAATCAAATCTAACTTTTTTACTACAGTAAAAAGCTCTCACATAAAATCACATCTCAACTCGAATTAAAAACTCGAATCAGCGAACTAAACGAGCCCATATTTGTTAATCCAGGAAAAAAAATAAAAATAATGTTAAAGATAAAATAAGCTGGCAAAACTCAAAAAGCACAAAGCCATAAGTCAAAGGAATAAAAAGTACTCCCATAAGGCGAAGAAAAAGGCATCATCAATTTCAGTTATTATCCTGTGATGGGATATGAAAAGGAAGCGATACTTGAGATGCCTTAGTATTCAAAAGAATTTTGAACGATTTACAGAAAAAACTATATTTATTCCCTTTTCTCTTTGTGGACCCATAATTTCCACTTTCCATCAATGAAGGATGAAAAAATCAAGTTATTCGGCCTTTCAAATGTTGAATATATATATATATATATATATATATATATATGCGTGCATGCACCAACTTAAATGGTTTTGATTAGAGTCAGTGTATCCGTCATGGGAAAACAAACGATCACTTTAGCAACATTAATTGTCCTTAATCACAAGGATCTATATAAGAAGATCTACTATTCTATATATATTATCTTTTACTAGAACAACAAGATTAATAATTGATAATGGCAAAGTCAAGCTCGGCCGAGTCCAACATAACTCTGAAACTTCTGATCGACTCCAAGGAAAAAAGAGTCCTGTTTGCTGAAGCAGGCAAGGACTTCGCTGATTTTCTCTTCACCCTTTTGTCTTTGCCAGTGGGAACAGTTATCCGGCTCCTATCGACAAATGGCATGGTGGGAACTCTCGGAAAGCTCTACCAGAGCTTCGAAAGCTTGAGCGACACTTACATACAACCAAACGTCAACAAGGACATTCTTTTGAAACCCAACTCATCAATCGCCTCTTCTTCTTCAGCCACCCTTCTCTCGTTGACCAACAGTAGTGACACATCTGTTGGTAAAAAACTGTACATATGCGGGAACTGTCGCAGAAGTGGGTCTGACGAAAGGCCGGGAGCCACATGTACTTATTGCTCTACTAGATCCATCACCACGGAGCTCGTCTACGTGGCTCCCCCACCTCCTAATGCGGGGGTGTCGTCTGCTGAGGGAGGTTTTGTGAAAGGTGTTGTTACGTATATGATAATGGACGATCTAGAAGTCAAGCCCATGTCTACCATATCAAGCATTGCTATGCTCAATAAGTTCAATGTTAAGGAGGTGGGTGCTCTTGAGGAGAAGACTGTTTCGGTTGGCATAAAAGAGGTATATGTGTTTATACTCGTTATGTTTTTCTAGTTATATGATTATATGATTATATAGAAATGTAGACTAAGTGTGCTTATTTCTGTGGATAGGGATTGGAATTGTTGAAGGCTTCGCTGCAGACAAATACTGTTCTCACCAATGTTTTTCTTGGGAAGTAGAATGCCGACGGCTTAGGTAATATGGTCACTTGTGGCCGTTTTTTTTTTTTTTTCTTTTGAAATTAGACCATTGTGCTATCTTTTGAGTTTGGTGTTTGGACCTTTAAGTTACAAATTAAGTGTGTTTGAGTTTTCTTTCCGGTTTAATATTAGTCTGTTTTTCTAGAAGGCTGGCTGGCTTTTGTTTCTAAGACTGAAAGAGTACTACATGTGGCCAAAAACAGGAGACGTATATGTAATTTTTCATTCAATTTAAAATATCGATGGTGGTGTTGATTTGCAGTGTCATAATCTAGAAATGATCTTAATGCATCTTTTTTTTGTTATTATTTTATTATTTCTTTAGAGTAAATTTGTTCCTTATTTGTCATATTTTTTTAATTGGATAAAATCCCTAATTTTGTAATAAGCAGAAAAACTTTATTTGAAAGAAGGAAAAAAAAAAGAATCTTGCAAACTAAAACACATTGGACCTACGCAAAATAAAGAAAAACTCAAATCAAAAGCAAACAAAACAAAATTAAGCAACTAAGAGAAAATCCTAAGATTTTTCAATTTTTAAAACCCTTCCCACTATGAGCTCTAAACTCATAGAATGATTTTTTTTTTCTTTAGCTTTTTGTTCAATTTCTTTCCCAACTTATAAAGTAAGATTGCCGCCCCCACCCCAACTTCTCCTCTTTTTGAAGCATGTGATTATTGATTTTTAGTGCATTATCCGTTTTCAGACTTCAGAAGAGTCCTCCATTATATTCACCCGAGATTGTCTATTCACTTTCAGTAGATCATCCAATTGATAAACTGTAACTACTTTTGAAGGACCAATTAAACTAACCTCCAAATTGAAACCAAGAAAACTCTACATCCACCAGAGTACTAATATTTAAAGACACTGTTCACCCTTCCTGAGTGTTTGACTAAATTTTTAGCATTCTCTTAACAGATTTCTTAGTTGAAGGCAATTTTAAAGTTAGTTTTTAGAAATTGTTTTGCGCAAACGCATTTATGGTAGACTCGTAATAATATATAGTAAAAGATAAAAGACAGTGTATAATTAGCGCATCAACTCAATCGGCGTTAGTCCTACCAGACAGAAGGTCAAATGTGGGCCCCACAGGTGTACCACGCCTATTTGTTTTTGGTGGACCGGCAAGGGTCATGTCTGCTGAATAACTTTCTTCGCATAATTACGCCTTTAATTAGGACAGTAGATGATATGTGACCAAAAGAAAGAAAGATGGTGATAATAGAGATGTAAGAACGGGTCAGGCCGGTCCGGCTTGGCCCGTTCTTCTTAGGCCTATGCGGGTTGTGGGCTGCGCCGGGCCGGCCCACTAATTATGTGGGTCGGGTTGGGTCGGTCCATATACAAATTATCTTAACCCAGTCCAGCCCACGGGTTAATTTTACGTGGGTCAGGTTAGACCGTATCGTGGGTCAGGATGGGCCGTCCCGTGAGTGTTGAATGAGCTAACTCATATTGGCCCATAATGGATTTAAATGGGCTGGCTCATTCAAGGTCTATCTTAGCCCATCATGGGTTTAGATGGGTCAATCCATTTAAGCATGTAATTTTTAATTTTTTTAATTTTTGAATTTTTGAATTTTAAACAAGTTAACAAATATAAAAGTTTGAATAGTCAATGAAAATATGAAAAGATAAATTTTATTTACGATTGTCTCATTAAAAACATTTCTAAGGAAAACTCAGTGGGACAAAACATTAGTAAGGAAAAAAAAGTACAATCAAGATAATTATACATAAGATGTTTACAAAATTACTAAAATAAAGAAAAAAAACATAAAAACATAAAAAACTAGATATTGTTCGTAAATACAATGTATTACTCCCAGTGAGAGTATCAGAAATGTCTAAATTTTCAAAGTCATCAACCCAATCATCTTGAACTTATTGGCTTCTTCTGCGAGCGTCCTCCCAATCTTTGACGCACATTACTGCCTCCAGAATATCATCACTTAAGCGTGCACGTCATTCATCAAGTACTCTACCACTGCAACTAAATACTTGTTCACTTACAACTGTGGACACTGGTATGGTTAGTATATCACGTGCCATTCTAGAGAGCACGGGAAAAGTTCTTGACTGTGATCTCCAAAATGACAAAATATCAAACTTATTGAAATCATGACCACCACCTTGCTCATTGAAAATGAATGCCGCAAAATTTATTTCCATATAGTTTTCCAATTCACTACGTGTTGACGATGTGGATGACACACCGAAACTAAATATGGTGTAGCTAATCATACTTTCCCATGAAGAACCATGTGGTATAGATGTAGTACTCACTAAAAGTGTAGGGGACATTGTTTGGCCTCCTCCATATTTTTCATTATATGCAGTAAATAAAGTGTTAGCTTTTACTTGCACATTTTGAAGGGTTATGATGTCAGAATGCACCTTCAGTTTTTCCCCTATACCCTTAACCAAATATTCAACATCAGCTAATTTAACTCTTGCATCCAATACAATGGCTACGCAATACAAAGGTGGAACACGCTCCTAATATTTTTGAATTTTTGTTCCATGAACTCAACAGAATCCCTAAACATGTCAAAGAAGATTTTAACATTTCAACGTTTTCATCACTCATTATGGGCCTAGACGGTCTCTGCTGAGCTGGCCCATTGTGGGCTTAGACGGGCCCGTCTGGGCCGGGCCATTATAGGCTTAGACGGGCTGGCCCAGCCCGGTCTAAGCCCGGCCTGGCCCATGATTTTTCATGGGCCGTACGGGCCGGCCCATGGGCTGATATATGTTGGCCCCACCCAGCCTACCAATATTTATGGGTTGGGTCGTGCCTTGAATAGTGTCAGACCGTGCCGGCCCGGCTCGTCACTGTGTCAGGATGGGCTTGGGCCGGCCCACGGCCCCCAGTCTATTATTGCATCTCTAGGTGATAAAACAATTAATTAACATTTCACTTAGACACTCGCTCTAAATTGGCCTAAAGTAATGATGGTACTAGCAAACATAATCGTCCTATATGGTGAATTGGACTCCAAAACTGTCCCATAATTTCAAAATCTCTCATGTCAATGTTTCTACTGACTATTAGTGTACATAACTACCATTTTGATTATTGATGCGTAGGTTTGTCAAGTCTTTTAAGAAAAATGTGTAACACACTAAACACCACATTATAAAAAGTGAATTCTATCTTAGAAGCCAATATTATGGAATTCATCTTTTATTAGTAAGTACCCTAGTATTGTTCATTTTCTTTAATCTTTTTGGTAAATTTGTTGTTCCATTCAAAAGAAAACAATACGTAGCATACTTCACGATTCATGGGAACACGCGCTTCAAGTCTTCAACTTCAAAATAAATAAAAAAAGCCGCTGCTTCCAAATGAAGATGTTGACCAAGAAGTTAATATAACTTTCCAGTTTCAGGCAAAATAGTATTTTCATGAAATTTATTTAGGTAGATAGTAAATTCTACAGTTTCTTGGACATTCCTAGATAATTGTTTTTTTTTTTTTTGAAAAGTTAGACATTTAACAAGATTTTACTAATCACGGTCAAATATTAAAAACATCAAATAGTATAGAGATAATAATTACTACGTAATTTTATAGTTTAAAATGTGAATAACTACATAATCTTATTATTCTTAAAATATTTTGGAAAACTTTTGGGTGCGTTTGGAATTGGTTCTAAAACGTTTTTATTTTTTGTATGAAAATGAAAACGAAAACGTTTTTATTTTCATTTTAGAATCATTTTTGAAAATGTGTTTGGTAGTTTTATTCCGAGATTGTTTCAGTTTAAAAAAAAAACTGAAATTGTGTTTGGTGGTTTAATTTTTAAAAATATGTAATAATATTTAAATTAATAATATATTAAATAAATAATAACCCTTAGTTAATAATTATATAAAAAAAATACCCTTAGTTAATACAATCTAAACCCTAATTTGTTGTCACTCTCAATGCGCTTCTCTCTCTCATTTCATCTCGTCGCTCTCTCTCTACCCTCCCTGTCTTCGTCACACTTTCTCTGGTTTCCTCTCTCTTCGTCGTGTCGTGGCTAAAGAAGGCACGCGATCTGACTGGATATCCGGGTAGATCCGGTGCCGTTCATCTCGCTCGTCTCAGATTGAGGACGCTGTGGAGAGCCGGTGCCATTGGTGGATCTCGCCGAGTTCGAGATCCGTGAGGATCGACGTTCAATCCTTCACCGGCGTCAACCGTGGATTCTGCGAGATCTCCCGCTGGGCAGTCGCAGAAGAGTTGGGGGAGGTGGGCGAAGGGAGAAAATGAAAAACGGATTTCATCCGTTTTCAGAAAAATTGAGTTTTTGGGAAAAATCTAAAAAACGTTTTTGTTTTTGGTTTTGGTATGGATTCTTCCCAAACACATTTTCATTTTCCGTTTTCATTTTTTCTTCTCGAGAAACGTGAAAAACGAAAATGAAAATGGAAACAAACGGGCCCAAATTTGTATTTTTCAACTCCATTCTCATAAATGTCATGTAATTTTTCTTTTCCTAAATGACTAGATAATTGAGATACTTTTTTTGATGTAAAGAAAAATGGAGATCGATGGTCATGTCTTCACATTCCAACGTAGCAGTAACTTGACAATCCACTCGGACTACAGAGAGAATGGAAAGTAATTATCTGACTCATAAAAGTTTAAAGTCACATGCAAGCCATATTTGACGGCCGAGAGACATATATATAATTGCAGTCTTCTTGCAAACAATAAAAATAGATCCTTAAGTGTTAGATAAGAGAGCCTCGTAGATTGTCATTCCCTGTTGTACCACCATAATCAGTAGTAAGATAGTTGTAGTACTTTAATTTTTTTCTTCCGGTGAAAGATTGTTCATTGTTGTACGTAATACTTGGCAATTAAGTAATGTAGCTTTGATAGCTAGCCATAAAAGCTTAATGGCCAAGTAAAACAACTCATAAAGGACCTGCAATGTACTATCACACTTTGGCGCAGTCCAATGAGAAGCAAAAAGTTATGATATTGTACCAATCAAAATTAGCAAGCCATTAGTGTACTAAACTTTGTAAAAGCAAGCAATCAAAATTAGCTCATACTATGTAGTATTCCTATAAATAGTTGATCATTAATCTCTGCAGCATTTATGTAATCCAATCACTTGAAATACTAGCAGCTAATAAATTCTCATATAGACAGCTTATACACCAAGACCGAGTCTAGTATGGCAATGTCAAGCTCGGCCGAGTCCAGCATATCTCTAAAACTTCTGATGGACACCAAGGGAAAAAGAGTTCTGTTTGGTGAGGCAGGTAAGGACTTTACTGATTTTCTCTTCAACCTTTTGTCTTTGCCTGTGGGAACAATTGTCAGGCTGCTCTCAACCAATGGCATGGTGGGATCCATCGGTAAGCTCTACAAGAGCTTTGAAAACCTAAGTGACACATATATACAACCTAATGTACTCAACAAGGACACACTTCTCAAACCAAACTCACCAATTGGTGGCTCTACAGCCCTTCTTTCGTTGACTACTACCAACCAAACATCCCCGGCCAAAAGAGTATACATCTGTTCTTGGCCTTCAAATAATTATCAATCTGGTAGCGGTGGTTCTCTTTTTGCTACTGGTTACTCTAATCGCAGTTGCAGCAAACAGCACGCATCTGATGACCCGCGGGCCATTTGTCCCAATTGCAAACGTAACACCTCCATCGAGGTGCCGTATGTCGCCCCGCCGGCTCCTAAAGTTGGGGGGTCATCTTCTGAGGGAGGTTTTGTGAAAGGTGTCGTTACATATATGATAATGGACAACCTCGAAGTCAAGCCCATGTCTACCATATCAAGCATTGCTATGCTGAATAAGTTCAATGTTAAGGAGGTGGGTGCACTTGAGGAAAAGATAGTTTCGGTAGGCATGAAAGAGGTAACAAGTTTGTAGTTTCTTTAGTTTTTTGTCGTGTACTCCATTGATGTATAGACCGTATATATGTTGAATTAATGTTAACGTGATTGTGTTGTGTTTTGTTTCTGTGTGGATAGGGCTTGAAATTGTTGAAGGCTTCGCTGCAGACGAATACTGTTCTCACCGACGTTTTTCTAGATTAGTAACTAATTTGAAAACGTGTCCTGCACGTGTTGCAGTGCCGAAATTACTTGAATAGTTTATTATGTACTACATAATGAGATGCATAGTTTAAGTGTCTTTGAGTTATTTTACAGATAATTGTTTTATAATTTTTGTCGAAACAAAATTTGTTTTGATTTAAACATTTATATTCCGTTTGTTTCCCAGGTTTGAACCATAAAAGCTCAAGGTCGAAAAGATTGAGAAATAGAACCATCTGATTTGATTCGTTCTCAATAGCCATGAGATGATCATCTTAGGGTGATCCTTTTGTTGACGGATGCTCCTATTACACTCGTAGTCTCTGAAGGATGAGAACCAACTATGTAGCATCTACATCGAGAATTCAAGTATTGTATACGTCATTAGTCTTTTTAATTCTAAGACCAGTAGTTCTAGGACTCGACTCGCTTCTTTCAAACTGTTTCTCATTATTAAGAAAGGGTAACAAACATAAAATACGAGCTTGTTTTATAGCAATAGTAATTAATCGTTGTTGTTTTAAGGTCAATCTATTCACCCGTCTAGATAATATCTTTCCTTGTTCACTAATAAATCGACTAATTAAACTCATGTTTCTATAATTAATTTGATCCCCCGATTGTATCGGGGGCAAACGCCTACGAAAAGATCGCTTAGATTTAAGAAAGAGTCGCTTGGATTTATCCATGATTTTTTTATTCCTTGTCCCGAAGCAGCCCGATAAGAACCCATACCTAGAGCCAACATCATATAACCCAATTGAGACATTGTAGAATAGAACGCATAAGAAAACTTATTCACACTTTTCATAAATAAGACATATTTTGTGACAATTATTGCCGTGTACATATAAGAATTAGAACATGTGTAAGCACAAATAATTTTTGGAAATAGTTGAAAAGAAAAAATCTAGTGAAACACATCTTAAAATATAAGATTTCATGGAAAAAAGAATGAAAAAAATGGTATAAGATTATTAAGGGAAAAAAAGATATAAGAACAAGAAGAAAAAAAGGAACAAATGGGTTGAGTCATGTGGAGGAACTAAAGCAATATGCTTTTCTTTGATTTTTATATTTATTAATAGATCATATTCAGTACAAAATCAATATAAAACTAATTAAGGTCCACATATGTGAAGGAGAAAGATATTTAAATAAGAGCATATTTGAAAAGAAAAAAAAACAATAAGTTCGAAAAAGAAGAAAGTATTTTCCTGGATTAATACATTCTTAAAATATAGTATTACGAAGAAAAATGAGGAAAAAAGGTATAAGATAATAAGGGAAAATAGATTAAAAGAAAAAAATAAAATTAAGCAAAAAAAAAAAAAAAACAGAACAAGAAAGAAATATCTGGCTACATGAATGATAAAGATAAAGTGTTAATTTGCACTTTTTATATATACTAGTTGAAAGTTGAAACAAGTGCTGAGTATTTAGTATGTTATATTTTTTAGACACAAATATTTAAAAAAATAAATAAATATTATCAACAAAGAAAAATATTTAGGCAAGCACATACTTGAAGTTATTTAAATAAGAGCATATTAGAGGGTAAAGCTTAATAAGGCACAATTAAAAAAACACAAGATTTAAAATGAACAAAAAATAAAAGGATTAAAATGCACGTGTCAATTAAAACATACATTTCAATTAAATACATGTATGTGTGTGTGTGAAAAAATATTTGAGTGGGAACATATGCGAGAAAAATTATATCAACATAATTATATAACTTATTTGGTATTTATGAGACAAATAGCAGTACGTGTCATTGAAAAAGGAAAAAAAAAATCTTGTGTAAGTAGGAAGATATTTAAAAAGAATTACTTTAATGGGGCAATTAGAAAAAAGAATATTTATCAGGATTACTTTTGAGAAAAAATTATTTATAAGTATCGATCATATAAAATATATAAGTAAAAAGGTATAAGATAATAAGTGAAAAGAGATTAAAAGAAAAAATAAAATTTAGCAAACAAAGAAAAAGAAATACCTGGCTACATGAGTGATAAAGACAAAGTATTATTAGCACTTTTATATATACTAGTTAAAACACGCACTACGCATTTAACTATCAGTATGTTATATTTTTTAAACACAAACATTTATAAAAATAAAAATAAAGAAATATTAGCAACAAAGAAAAACATTTAAGCAAGTACATACTTGAAATTATTTAAATAAGAGCATATTATGGGTAAAGTTTAATAAGGCACAATTAAAAAACACAAGATTTAGAATGAACAAAAAATAAAAAGATCAAAATACACGTTTCAATTAAAACATACATTTCAATTAAATACATGTGTGTGTGAAAAAAATGTTTGAGTGGGAAGATATGTGAGAGAAATTATATCAACAAAGGTAAATAACTTGTTTGGTATCTATGAGACAAATAGCAGTACGTGTCATTGAAAAGGGAAAAAAAAAACATGTGTAAGTAGGAAGATATTTGAAAAGAATTACTTTAGTGGGGCAATTAGAAAAAATATATATTTATGAGGATTACTTTTAAGAAAAAATAATTTAAAGTATCGATCATATGAAATATATAAGTAGGACTCGTTTGAGGAAGAATATTTTGACATCATCAAATTAAGCAAAATGTTTCAATAAGCAATAGATATAGGGTCGGCAATTTCAGACATGACACGATGAAACGACACGAAAATGACACGAGATAAATAGATTTGAACCGCACGATTATTAATTGAGTCATTAACGGGCTGACACGAATAACACGAAAATAAATAGACTAGATTCGTGTTAGTCTGTTTAACACGCTTAACTTGTTTAGTTATATGGGTTATTATCAGGCCGATCCGGACCGACGCCTTTATTAAGCCCATATATTTTTTTAAAGACAAAACCCTAAGCTTCTCTCTCTCATTCTCTTACCCGCCTCACCTGCCGTTTCAGCCTTTCAAGAATTTCCCTTCCCATTTCTTCAAGGTACCAGATTGACGTTTTTGTTCTCAATTTTTCTTTAGCAAAAGTGACAAGAGGTACCAGATTATTGACAATGTATTTTTCTTTTACTCTCTCTTATCTCATATTCTTAACCCATTTTTTCTATGTTTTTCTTCCACACTAGATTATTGACGAGAGGTACCAAATTGCTTTTTGTGGAAAGGAGAGTGGATGACATCTAGTGTGGTCTTCTAGTGTTGTTCCAAGGGAATTTCGCTGTTTGCCTTTCTTCTTGGGGTGGGTTTTGGATTTCTAGTCTATGTTGGTAAGCTTATTTCCTTATGGTGCCGGGTTGTTTCCTTTATTTATAATTATTTTTTTAAGGAAACTTGTTTCTGATTATTATTAAGTAATATCATACAAGACAAACTTGAGATACATAGATGTCTCGTTATGAACTGCTTGAACAAATATAGAGTGAACGCGAGATTAGTTGGGAAAAAAAAAAAAGCAAACAAAAACGAGAATTTTGGTGCTAACTTTTAAGGGTGACTAAAGTGACCTTAATTGGATGAGTAGATGATTTTATCAAAGTTTTAAAATGTTATTGTGAGGCTGAAACTTATACAGTTAATCATTGATATGAATAATAGTCATTGTGGAACATGTAATATGGGCAAAATATTGTTATTTTGTTTGATTTGGTGTTATAGAGTTAATGGATCAGTTATGTTCTTATTGAAATATGTTGCAGTATTACATTGAACATGGGACGAGAAAGAAATTTTGTTCGGTGATGGTTGTTAACAGATACCTAAGACCTGCTTGGTTTAGAGTCATAAGAAGTAAATATGTTCCTATAAATTTTGTTCGGTGAAATATGTTGCATTATTTCTGACTTGCTTGGTTTGGAGTCATGAGAAGTAAATATGTAGCTTCAATTGTGAAATAACCTTTATGATGTCGTTCTGCTTGTTTTTGCTAAGAAACAAGATGATCTTTATTTTTTTCTCCCACTTGTAGATGGATGATTTGCAAGATAGTGTTGGAGTAAATTTAGAATCAGGCAGCGCTACCGCATCTGCCGCTGCTACTAGTGATGCCCTATTGCATTGGAGTTGGAGGAGGATGTTGAGCCTGAAACTAACTCCAAGAATCCTACCAACATTTCCAAACGTAAAAGGAAGCATACTTCTGTTGTCTGGAACCAGTTTGAAAAGCTTTCAGTGGGTGCAGACCAGGAGCTAAAAGCCAAATGCAAGGAGTGCAGTGTGGTGTATATGGATAATAGAAAGAATGGGATTGGAAGCATGCGACGTCACATGCAATCATGTGTACGTAGAGACACGCGTGACGTAGGCTAACTATTGATATCGTAAGACAAAGGGACTTTAGCATTGAGTGCAAAGAGATTTGATGCTGAACACTTTCGTGAATTGATAACAACAGCAATCATTTGCAATGACCTTCCATTCTCCTTTGTTGAATATGAAGTTGTTAGGGCGACTTACCAATATTTGCATCCTGAGATAACTTTGGTAACTAGAAATACTTTAAAGGCAGGTGTCCAAAAAATGTTTTCTCAGGAAAAGGCAAGAATAAAATCTATGTCGGAGTTGAGCCCTGGTAGAATTTGTTTGACATCTGATTTATGGACTTCCATAGTTACAGATGGATATTTGTCATTAAATGCCCATTTTATTGATAAAGACTGGGTATTGCAAAAGAGGATTTTGAATTTTTGCTTCATGCTATCACCACATACAGGTATTGCATTGTTTGAAAAACTTTATGCATTATTGTGTGAGTGGGGAATTGAATACAAGGTTTTCACTCTTACTTTGGACAATGCCTTTGCTAATGATGTGTATGTTAATCTGTTGAAAAATCAGTTGATTAAAAAAAATGCACTTATTTCTGATGGTTCTTTTTTCCATATTCGTTGTTGTGCCCATGTTTTGAACCTTGTAGTGCAAGAGGGGTTGAAAGATATTGATTCAGTGGTTAAAAAGATTCGTGAGAGTGTGAAATATGTAAGAGGGTCCCAAATTAGAAAGAATAAGTTTTTTGAGTGTGTAAATCTTGTGGGTCTTGATTCTAAGAGAGGTTTGAGGCAAGATGTACCTACAAGATGGAACTCAACATTCCTCATGCTTGACAGTGTCTTGTATTATCGACGAGCATTTTGTCATTTAGAATTGAGTGATTCTAATTACAAAGACTGTCCTCATCCATATGAATGGAAAAAGGCCAAGAAAATTTGTGAATTTTTAGAACCCTTTTATAATATCACTTGTGTTTTTTTTAGAGCTAAATACCCCACTGCAAACTTGTACTTTCCAATTGTGTACACATGTTATTTGTCATTGAAGTCATTTGAGAGAAGCGAAGATGCATATTTGTCTACTATGACAAAAGCAATGCTTACCAAGTTTGAAAAGTATTAGAAAGATTTCAGTTTGATATTAGCAATTGTGATAGTGTTTGATCCTCGTTACAAGTTGAATTTTGTAGATTATTGTTTATGGCAATGTTAATGGAATGAAAGGGTCACCTCAGTTTTTAGTGTCGTGTTCGTGTTCACTATAATCGTGTCGTGCGGTAATCGTGTCGGCCCGAACACGACACGCAAACACGAATTGCTAGTCCTAAATAAATATAAATATAAGATTTTTTTTAATAAAGAGATAAACGAAACATTCTTATGTTTTGTCCGTCCTTATTTTAAAATTCATTCACACTCAGTGAATATGCATAAATTATAAATATAGAAAATTAAAGAAATAAAAAG